TCATCGAACAGGTCCGTTTGAACCATGAACTCAATCTCCGACTCCAGGAAACGCTTCTCTGTCAGAACCATGATGCACTACATTGATTCGATCAGCGCCATTGTTAGCATGCCAGAAGGAGAACAATATATCCGAGTCATTCGCTACGCACCGTGAGCTCTGGTGGCGGTGGCGTCTCTTCGCCTTGAGACGGAAAACTCATGTCCAGCGGCCTCAGCTGGACCACAGTAAGAGCTTTAAGACGAATGTTGCGCACGCTAACCGGGAAGTTCGAGTTTCCCAGAAGTTGTAGGAACAAACTGCTAACTGCCACTTGTGGAAACATGAATGGCAGTTGCTCCAGTGTCAGCTTCGGCAGACTCAGCGAGGTGGCGAGCTTAGCAGAATCCGAAGACAGTAACGCAAAGGGACACTGCAACGTGATACGTGGACATGGGCTACGCAGAATGGAGGTGCGCCAACCGCAACGCGTAAGTGGTGGCAGCCAACAGCGCCAGTGAAACTCCTTCGTGCCTAGGTAAGCAGGGGCTGGCAACGCAGGTAGCTACAGCGACATGACAACAGCAAAATTCACGCAGCTCATTTAGGTATTGAGGGGGGATTAAAGTTGTTGAAACTCGCAGAGCTGAAGGTGACGGCAGGTGCGGAGAACGTGCAGCAACAGTAAGAGACGTCGGAAAACCACTGCACACACTCAAGAGCAGTTAGAAAACTGACATTGCATATCCAGCACATTGCGTAAAATACATCAGTCCTTAATTTCCATCCTCAAGAGCAAGCTAACAATCCAACAAAAGTAAAGAGAGCGCCCAATACCTTTGCACCAGATCGTGCTTCCACGTGACGGCCACGAACGTCACGAGCAGCAACACTGCCACGAGAACTAGCACCAACACCCCAAGAACTAGCATCGCCATCAGCAGACTTTTCCTACTTGGACACTAATTTGAACAGACTATTTGATTTTCGACCAACGAGAGGGCATGGGGGGAAACCATTGGGATTATTCGGCTTTATTTAGCCACCCAACGTATAACTGGGTTATTTGGGACGAAGTCCCCTTTGGACTCCTGATTTACTTAACTTTTTAAATAAATGTACCCTGATTAACTATCTGAAAGGGGCAAAAATCGCAAACATCTGTCCTTTATCAAACGTAGTATTTCAGGTATGGATGAATATCATCACATATCCGACCTTACTTGAATTTTGTATGCGCTTGAACTGCCTATGACAGCACTCAAACTAATTTGGACCAATCATAATTCACT